CCTCTGTACTGAATATCAACATGTACTTTTTGGTATTGAATAAAGTATTGTGGACTTGATTCTGCATCACAGAAATCCAAGGGTTTTTTTGTGACATCAGTAGATCTGGGATCAGGTTCAGTATGACTACTGTGGATATTATAATAAAGGAGGCAGTTACTTATAATCAAAAAGGAGGTATGCATTCATCACACGCCATATAAAAAGCCAGGAAATGCTTCTGGGTAATTTTTTTTTTTTAACTATATAAATAACATCCACCACAATTGATGCAGTTATTTGGCTAAAACAGTAAAATATAATACAAATACTCTTTTTTCAGGGTGGCTAAAGGAGCCTGGTAAGTTTGGGGTATTTGATGGAAAGGTTGTGCTTGTTGAGATGCTTTAAATGAGGTTTTCTTGGATTGTTTTTATTGTGTTTTATTTGAAAAATGTTTTAGGCCTCTGGAAAAAGAGGTGAACACCTTTTTTTAAAAAAAAAAATACATTGCTGTAAATCATAAACATTACACTCATAACTCGGGGTATAAATAGATTTTTTAGGATAATAGCAAAATCTATTGTTTTCCTTTGAATATCCATTGTTTTCCTTTGAAGAGTGGTTGTTCCTTAAGGAGACGGTCCTCTAAGCCCAAAGGGTGGCAATCCCAACATGGATCAAAGGGGGCAAGAGGGTTCAAAAGCCCCCATGGCTCACCAAAAGCATCCAGGAACGTCTCAAAGCTAAAAAGGAGGTGTACACCCAATGGAAAGGAGGGGCCATCACCAGGGAGGACTATACCAAAGTTGCTCTGGATTGTAGGCGGGCGGTCAGGAAGGCCAAGGTGGAGATGGAACTGGGACTAGCAACCCGGATCAAAGATAACAAGAAATACTTTTTTAAATACATAGGGGGTAAAAAGGTTTCGGGTAACATCGGGCCTTTGCAGGACACGCTAGCAAATCTGGTGGTCTCCCCAGACAATGAAGATAACCTATTTAACAATTTCTTTGCCTCCATTTTTCTGAGCAGGAATCAGGTCATCTCCCCCACCGGGATCCCCAATGGTCCCAGGGGAGGCACAGCCAGGCCCAAGGTCAGAGAGGACCTAGTTGGGGAACTTCTGGTGGGACTGGATGCCTTCAAATCAGCAGGTCCAGATGATCTCCACCCCAGAGTGCTGAGGGAACTAGCAGAGGTCATTGTGGGACCCCTGGCACAGCTTTACGAGCACTTATGGTGCTCTGGCAAGGTGCCAGAGAACTGGAAAAGGGCCAGTGTGGTCCCCATTTTCAGAAAAGGGAGGAAGGAGGACCCAGGAAATTATAGCCCTGTTAGTTTTCCCTCGGTCCTGGGGAAGCTCTTTGAGAAAATTATTCAGGGGCACATCTGTGAGGGGCAAGCAGGGGAGATTATGCTTAGGGGCAATCAACATGGGTTCATTAGAGGCAGGTCCTGTCAGACCAACCTGGTGGCCTTCTATGACCAGGTCACAAAATCCTTGGATGCAGGT